CGCCATGGTGTGTGCTGGAGTCGCTGGGACACAGAAGCTGTTTTCTGGCTCACGAGTTCGAAGTCGCTGCACGCCCAGCCGTTTGTCCCGCCGTCTGGCCGGGAAGGGGGCCCCCGGGCAAAGGAGGGAATGAATCACCGCGCCTAGCTGAAGCGGGCGGGGCCGGAGGAGGCCGGGCCAGGTGGCTGCCGCCCCGGAAGCCCCCTTTGCCCTGCGGCCAAAGACGTTAGGGTACGGGTCCTGCACACACCCGCATCTTCAAGTTGTCAGGCAGCTCCAGGTACCAGGTGCAAGAATACAGAGACCCTTAACTTTAGAAAAAAAATGCAAAAGCGCTACGTTCCACTCCAAACCGAGCGAATCTGACTTCCTACATTTGATCTTAGCCAAAAAGCCAAGAAGCGAGTAAGTGACTCCGTTTCCTTAGCTCAAAAAAAAAAAAAAAAATGGGGCTGGAGAGATGGCTCAGAGGTTAAAAGAACTGACTGCTGTTCTGAAGGTCCTGAGTTCAATTCCCAGCAACCACATGATGGCTCACACCCATCTATAATTAGATCTGGTGCCAAGAACACTATATACATAATAAATAAATTTAAAAAAAAATGGCCAAGGCCCTGTTTAAACCAAAAATTCCTAAGATCAGGTATGTTTCCTGAATTTGGAGTGCTTTGAATTTTAGAAGGGTTTCCCTTTACATATATAGCAATGGTTCTCAACCTGTGGGTCACGACCCCTTGGGTCTCAGGACCCTTTCATTGGAGTCGCCTAAGACCATCGGATAACACAGATATTCACATTACGATTCCTAAGACTAGGAAAATTACAGTTAGGAAGTAGCGACGAAAATAATTTTATGGTTTGGGGGGGTCACCACAACATGAGGGGTATTAAGGGGTCACAGCATCAGGAAGGTTGAGAATCACTGGTAGATCGTATATCTCCTAACACCCTCGGTTTGATGTGGGTATTAAAACTTAATTACTTCAAGAAACGGTGTAAATGTTCACAATAAGTGAGATGAAGAAAGATTGAAAATTGTTCCTGATTAGGTCAGGTCAGGTCAGGTTCTGTAGTCAAATGGGATGGAGGGTATGAGCCGGGTTTCCAGAGTGGGAGGCTCTGGTTAGAAAGGACAGTTCAGTGTGAAATAGAGGCCATGTGTGCTGCAAAATCTGAGTGAGAAGAGGGCCTGCTGATCACCTGGTAAAGAGTAGTGATATCAATAATCTGCTTAGAGCCCAGGGAGCCTTACAGGCTTACTCTGTGCCCTGCAATTCCAGGGAAGTCTTCAGCCTTCATGCTGGCTCTCCGCTTTCTGGTTCTGAGAAGAGAGGCTGAGTCAGCTTCAGGTAAAGAACGGAGAAAGCACACATTTTTGCTGAGAGCTGGACAAGGTAAGGGAATGGTTCTTGGAGTACAATTTTGGGTAAGAAAGTTGACATTTTGCACTGTGTTCCTGAGCAATTAATTTCTCCTGGCCACCTTAGTATCTAACACATGTGCCTGGTTACCTAAAAATCAGGACATGCCCCCACACAATGTGTTCTGGACATTTGTTTTTTGGGTTTTTGTTTTTTGTTGTTTTTGCTTTGTTTTGTTTTTCTTTTTTTAATATTTTATGGTTTATTTAACTTTTTATTTTATGTGCATTGGTGTGAAGGTGTCAGACCCCCTNCTAGACCAGGTTAAAGCTTAAGGGAAAAGCTAGTGCCTGGCCGTCAGGCATGCTAAAACCAGGTAGATCTTCACTAAGTGAACACAAAGCTGTCTGTTGGTGCTCAGTGCCTCCGCCTTCCAGCTGCCATCTCTTGAGCGAGCTGCGCGCCCCCGCCCCGAACCCCTAGAGCCTGTGAGAGACGGTCCTCACTCGGCACTAGCCAGGGCCCAGGGGTACCAGGGATACGGTCGTCCAAGTCTTCTGTGGGGTGCTCCACTGAGGGAACCACGTGGGCAAAAGCCACTGCCTCTGGACTAGGTTCCAAACTGGGCCGAGTCTTGGACGGGTGATGAACTGGGGAAATGGTGCTGCGGGACTTCGTCATCCTGCTTCCCCTAGGATCTGGGCTGCAATCTGGAGAGAGCAATCCTGAGGGTTAGACTGGGTGGTGCAGTGAGGGAATGGAAATTGGGGCCTTGATTAAGAGTGGCCAGAAAAGCCTCAGAGAAAGTTCTCTTCAAGGCCTAGAAGTGCCTCTCCCTCACAAACCTCCAGCCTTACCCGCTCCAGATATACTTCTTCAGTCTAGGACAGAAATAATTGCTCAAAGGAAGCTTTCCTACTTGAGACTTGTGAATCTTCCCCTCTCACTCCTTCTCCCTTGGTTCCCTACCCTTTCACCTACTGATCAGTGCTTAAGCATTTTTGGGCGGTGGGGAGGGGAGTTCACGTATGGAGGTCAGAAACCAACTTGAGTGGATCAGGTCTCTCCTCCGGCTGTGTGGGTCCCAAGGATCGAACTCATGTCGTCAGACTTGGTGGGGAAAACACGTTTATCTGGGAGCTGGCTTGCCAGCCCCCTTTCCTCTCTAAAAGGGAGTATCTGGGAGATGGAATCCACGTGGCTTCTCAGATGGCTAGGCAAACACTGCACCACTGAACCGCATCTCAGACATCAGAGTCCTCTGTCTCTATAGCCTTCCTCCATCTTCCTAAGACTTTCCTTCTTAAAAAATAAAAGCCTTTACTCCAGACCCTCCCCTCCTAAGACCTTAAAAGCATTCTCTGAAGTTCCTACCCTGAGGTAAGTCTCAGATTTTGTGAATTCCCCACCCCACCTTGGCACTGGATCTCTAAATCCCCACTGAGACCACCAAACCCTTTCTACGCAGGATTCAGCCTTTCCCCTCTCTGAGCTTCTCCTTCCCCTCTCTGATCCCCGCCTCTCTCTCCTGGGAATCTCAGCACCTCACCTCTCTTTTGATGGCCAGCAACCTCCTCAATCCTACTGATGTCCATCTCTTGAGGCCTGCGGAGGATTCCCAGGCAAAGTCGGGGGCCTCCAGTGCGTATCCGCTCCACCACCTGGGCATGAGTTAGGCCCTGTGTTGACTCTCCATTAATATTGAGCACGAGATCACCAACCTGCAAGAACACAGTGGCATATGAAAGGCAGACGAAGAACACTTGGCAAGGACAGGGACCATATCTCTGAATGTACTGCTGCTTAGAACTAACCTGCAAACGACCACATCGCTTTGCTGGCCCATCCTTCAGCAGTCCATGCACGGCCAGTGGAGCATCCCCAGATACACCTCGTCCCCCTTTTAAAGTGAAACCAAAGCCTGCAGGGCCTCGGAGCAGCTCCACGGAAAATCGACCAGTGGCTTGTGGTAATTTCAAAGCATAGCTTGCTTTATTCTGGGTTACTGGAGGTTGCTCCATACATGTCACCAGAGTCTCAGACCTTCGATGCTGGAATAAGGGCAAGAGTATACATGAATTAGCAGGGTGAATATCTTTGTTAGAGTTACTATTGCTATGATGAAACACCATGACCAAAGCAAGCTGGGGAGGAAAGGGTTTATTAGGCTTACACTTCCACATCACAGCTCATCATCAAAAGAAGTCAGGACAGGACCTCAAACAGGGAAGGAACCTGGAGGCCAGAGCTGATGCAGAGGCCATTGGGGGATGTTGCTTACTGGTTTGCTTCCTGTGGCTTGCTCAACTTGCTTTCTTATAGGACCCAGGACCGACAGCTCAGGGATGCCACCACCCACGATGGGCTGGGCCCTCTCCTATTAATCACTAATTAAGAAAATGCCTTACAGCCAGATCTTATGGATGCTTTTTCCTCAAATGAAGTTCCCTCCTTTCAGATAACTCTAGTTTGTGCCAAGTTGACATAAGACAGTATAAAAAGTAAATGCCTATAATCCTAGCACTGGAGAGTCTGAGGCCAAGGGATCACCTTGAATTTGAGGACAGCCTAGTCTAGCTATCAAGCTCCAAGCCATCCTGGACTACAGAGGATGCCCTGTCTGAAGGCCAGCCAAAGCAAAGGGTTAGCACTGAGCATAGCATTGAGGAGGAGTAGTACCTGGGATCGACGTCCCACAAGAGTGGCATGAGGCAAACGGCTGTCAGTGACTTCTATATCTGCAGAATCCAGGCTGCTAACAGCTGAGATACAAAAGCAGCGACAAAGAGGGATATCAAAAGATGTTGACATGGAAACAACCTAGGACCCCTAGGTTAACTTTATAAAAAATTATTTTTACTAGGGGCTGGAAAGATGGTTCAATGGTTAAGAGTACTGGTTGTCCTTTCAGAGAACCCAGATTCAATCTGCAGAACCCACGAGGTGGCTCATAACCGCCTGCTGACTCCAGTTTAAGAGGGTCTAATGCCCTCTTCTGGCCTCCATAGGCACCAGGCATGCATTTGGTACACAGACATACATGCAGGCAAAATACTTGCACACATAAAATTAAAACATTAAAAATTGTTTTTACTTTATTTTGTGTGTACGGGTGTTTTGCTTGCGTGTATGTTTGTGCGCCGCATGTGTACCTGGTATCAAATCCTCTGGAACTGGAATTACATCATAAGCCACCATGTGTGTGTGATGGGAATAGAACCTGGTTCATCTGTAAGAGCAACCAGTAGAGGGGGGAGGGGGAGAAGATTGGGGGGAGGGGGAGGGAAATGGGAGGCTGGGAGGAGGCGGAAACTTTTTTTTCTCATTCTCAATTAAAAAAAAAAGGAAAAAAAATAAAAAATACAAAAAAAAAAAAGAGCAACCAGTACCCTTTTTTTCCCTCTGTATAACAGTCCTGGCTGTCCTGGAACTTGCTTTGTAGACCAGGCTAGCCTCAAACTCACATAAATCCGCCTGCCTTGGCCTCCCAAGGGCTGGGATTAAAGGTGTGCACCACCTGTCTTAAAGTAATCCTGTGCCGTCCATTTGAATACTCCATACCTTCTTCCCAGATGTTAATAACACATGGGCTACATGCATTAGATAGCACCCTAAGTGGCTGGGGTGGTATCAGGACTTCCTAACATGTGGCACATCCTGAGTTTGGCCCTAGCACCTAAAGAGTTAAATAGATAAACTATTTTTTTAAAAAATATTTATTTATTTATTATGTATACAATATTCTGTCTGTGTGTATGCCTGCAGGCCAGAAGAGGGCACCAGACCTCATTATAGATGGTTGTG